GCGAAATTCGGTCAACTGCGGACTGCAGCTGCAATTCCAGATGATATTCCATAATATTCTGTGTGCTTTTTGGGCTAATCTTGAATACTATGAATAAATAGATCTGTGCCACATATGTAAATTGAAGCTTTAAGCTTAAAATGTAAATGTAGGAAGTAAATGGTGCTAGGCTTTAATACTTTGTATATGCATATGTATTAAATATTTTAAAATAATTTTAAATTTATTTACTTTTAACTGTGGCTGTATTTTATTTAAATAATATTCTTTATAGCAGATTATTTATTACATTATTAATATTTAATTTAACTGTTTATTAAATTTTAATCTAAAATTTAATTTAAATGAAATTAAATTTATTTATTTTATTATTAAATTATATTTTATATATTTATTTATTATTTATTATTTATTTATTATTTATTTATTTGTTTGTTTGTTTTATTTTATTTGTTTATTTAACTGTGGCTTTAGTTTATTTAAATAATATTCTTAATATTATTAATTAAATTATTTATTTTAATTACTTTTTATATATTCAATTTTAATGTTTATTTTTATTTTTAAATATTTATTATTTTGATCGAAGGTGCTTTGTTATCAAAAGACTTTTTGTTCGCTTCAATTTAAATTTTTTGCACGTGCACATTTGCTTTTAATTAATACACTTTTTGTTATCAAACCTTAGTGTACAAAATCTTTTATTTTTAAGCTTTAAAATATTTTCATGTTATTTTTATAACATTGTACGACTTTCATGTTTCATGTCCAATTAAATGTATTTTTATTATCTCAATCGTTAGTTGTGTGTAACATTTATTTTATTTTTCATGAATTTCATACTATTCTTTTTCTTTAGGTTTCGTGTATTTATAGTCAATTAAATTTATTTCACTCCAATCAATCTATTGTTTTGCCAAAGGTTTTTCTATTTTTGATATTTCTATAAATATATATTTTTTAAATGAATTTTTATAAATTTGATTTAAGCCTGTTTCACAGCCCGGTTGCCGCTACACTGTTTGGCATTTTTTACGGTGACAACCCTGGCTAATCAATTCCATGCGGTGCTTTTGATGTGCCAGCCACTAAAAGGGTTCACAAATTTTAAACGCTTATTGACATTTTGGCAATTACGGCGCCACTTGCAGGCGGCCAGCCCTAGCTGCCGACCCTCTAGACAGTTGCCAGTTGTCAGTTGGCAGTTTTGGCTTATCAAATGTTAAATTAATGAAGTTAAAACATGAGCATTGAGTGACGCAATCTGCCACCGCGTGTGGGTTTCCAATTCCAGAGACAGCGACAGAAACAGCAGAGCAACGGCAGCTAATGATATCAGAGCGAAGAGCTTATCGATGCTTAAGTTAGTTATGTTAATTCGCTTGACGCGATAAAGTCGATGGCAATGTCCAGCTCATTGTATTTATTTCTCTCTCTCTCTCTCTCTCTCTTTTTACCGTAACGAGCAGTCTATCAAAGTTGTCTCACGCTGCTCACAGGTGGGCAACTGAGCGTGAATAATTGTGCGACAGAGATAGAGTGGGGAAGAGAGTGTGTGAGAGAGAGAGAGTGAGAGAGAGCGTGAAGGGGTGAGTGCCTGGTGCATTTGCATACATAGCTGGACATCTTGCAGTTGGGACATGAGCTGGGCGCAACGGGTGTCTAATTATGCAGCTTGACTCTTGAGTATATCCCCCCTCTCTTTCTCTCCCTCTCTCTCTCTCTCTCTCTAACTCACTCTCTGTTGCGTCTCGTCAACGCCTTTGTCTCTGCTCATCAAACTGTTTAGGGAGAGAAATCAAGATAAACTTTTAATTTCTGGTCAGGCCATAAAAGTGGACGTGGGAAGCATTGTGGCGACTGTCGAGGAGCAGCGCCTCCTGCTCGCTCTGTCGTAGTTTTGTACAATTTATTCAAATTTAAACTGCAGTCAGCGGATGGCCATAAAACTGGCATTTTATGAGCGCACTCTTAATTGTCCACAGGCCGGCAAGTCCGCGCCTCACAGCGCGCCCTATACGAAAAAAGGGTTAATTCGCACAGACCCGGCGAGCATGTGCTGTCCGCCAACTGCGACTGTCCCTCTCCTTCTCCCTATCGAGCGAGCGGAGCGTCCTTAGACCCTTTTTTCACTTAGCCGCCCAATGCTCGGCCATCTGATAATTAGAAATTTATTAAGCTTAATTATGTGTTGGCTCCAAGTACGCACTTTGAATACTTTCCGTTGCTTCCAGCTGCCTGATTCAGGCCAGACCACGGAAATGAAAAGGGTTGCCTACACACTGCGGCCCGGGCTGGGCTCTTGCCAAAAAACTTTGCTTATTGCGGTGGCGTCATCACGAAAATAAAATTAATTTCATGCATGCCCCTTGCACATATAAAAGAACAAACAAAAGAATTTACATCCGGATGTAATTCTTTTAGTGGTTTGTAATAAAAAAAGAAGTAAAGAAATAAATAAAAAAAAAATGCAATTTTACTCGTAAAATCGCCTAACGGCTCTAAGGATAATTCGAATGAGCCATTAAGTTGAACTTTAACGATCTTCGCCGTTTTCCATTTCAAAATGTTTTTAATATATCTACAAATATTATTTTAAAGCCATTTCCAAATAGTTTTAATAGCTGTTTAAGATTTTCATTTTATTGTTTAATAAATATTTTAAACATCCATTCGGCACATATTCAACACTTAAAGACCTATAAGTCTCTGGAGCAATGCAAGCGATTCAAGTCATGTTTCTTGATTAGATTTGTGTGTTTTTTTTTTCACAAACGTATCATAAACATATCTCAAATCATGCACACATAAACGCCCAATCTAAATGCCATAAAATAAGCCCAAACATTTGGAAAAACTTTCCAAAATATACAGAAGAAAACTTTCATCTAAGCAACAACAACCATAACAACAACAACAAGTAGTTGGCTGATCGATGATCACATTAAACTTTTAACCCGTTTAGAATTGAATCCGAAAATAGAAATTTGAATGCGGCGTGGGCCGGCGATGAGATGAGGCGACCGGAAAAACGCCTCGAAACAAGAAAATTATTTAAAAACCCATAAAATTTGCATATTTATGGGCAGAGTTGGCAGTTGACGTGTTTATAGACGCGCCAGACCCGAATGCTGTGGGCAGCCGACTGTCATATATGCATGAGGTGATAAAAAACTTTATAATTGGGTGCTGCATACGCATATCAAAGCATTGCGTTTCCTTGCGTTGCCTTGCGTTGCCTTACGTTGCGTTACGTTACGTCTAAGTTTTACCCAAAAACATATTTGAGATTCATATACGCCGAAACATCCGAACACAAACACAAACACAAGCCGAAACTCTTTAGCTGAGCCTCTTGGCTATTCGTGGCGCAGCATCTCCGGCCGAGGCGCAGACGTGGCAGATGGCAGATGGCGCACTACGTGACCAATGCGAAATCCGTTGACTTATGTCAATACGACGTAGCGTCGACTCGAACTGAAATGAAGATAGACAGCGCAGACGACAGACACATTCTAGACAAAGAACAAAACAGTGCACAGGTCTGGGTTAGCGGCAGTTGCATAACGTTCCTGCGATATGAACTTTTTGGCAGTGCTCTGCAGTGGTGAGAAATCAAATAAGGACAGCCTCGACGACGAGGAAGACAGACTTGCGGACGGGCGGACGGACGGACTGGCGGGATGGCTGCGAGCGAGCCTGTCAAGCAAATGACAGCCAGAATTTTTGAACTTGAAATTATTTGCACGACAGCACTGAAAGGCTGCTCTGCACAATATGAAAGTGGTTGCATTACTTTTGAGGGTAAGTGTGCGACCTTAACTGAAATTAAAAGTGTTTTTGCATTTAAATGTCTTTCATCTAATCCGATTACGCACATATGCTGAGAGTCTACCATGGTGGGATAAATGCTGGCATATGAATAATATAATTATTAAATTAAGTTTATAATTGAATAAGTATTTAATATATGTACCATTGTTTGTCTCTACAGAAATGTAAAACAATTTCAGCATTGTCTCAGATGGATACATTTACATTGAATTATTTAATTTATATCATAGACTAATGAAGCTAAATTGAAATTCTTGTTATCCCAAATGAATATCAAGTATAATTGAATATTATATTGCTTACTTCTACAGCAATGTAAAGGAATTTTAGCATTTGTATTCACCCATTGAAACTAAATACAAATTCATTGAGTAATTTAATTTAGAATCAAAATCACCTCATCTTATATTAATTTATCGTAAGCCAATGAAACTGAAATGAAATTCTTGTTTACCCACACATTAAAAATCAAATTAAGTTTCATATCAACTAAATGCAAGCCTCTCTAATTTTATTAAATATATGTATTCCACACATCTCTGCAGTTCACTTTGCAGTCGAGCTGGCCGAATTGAGCTCCAAATTTGTCGTTTAATTTATTTTCACGCCACGTTGCCGGGCGTCACATTGAAAAGTAGTTTTCACATAGGACTAAAGCGCTTAAAACTGTACGTACATGCCTCATCCTGCTCCAGTGCCCTGCTCCCGGCCTTGCCCTCTCCTCTGACAGCTGTCAGCAGCTCACAAAATGGCGCATGACAGCAAAAAACAAAAAATGAAAGAATTTGAGCAGCATTGGCAAAGTGTTTGCCAATTTTAATAAACGAAATCGATGCAAAAAAAAAAAAAATAAATTGTATATCAGTATAAAAAGTATATATTTATATATGTTTGGATACATATTACATTTGCAGTTTGTATTTACCATGGGTTAATGATATTTGATGCCATTCAAGGGCTATTGATAGCAGCGTCGATGTCCTGCGCCAACAGGATTCAGCACGTTGCCCATTGCGGTTTTAGTTGCTTTTCGCGCGTTGTCGCCTCTAACGTGGCCAACAGGCGAGCACACACACACGCACAGCAAATCAGATCAGTGAACGAGGAAGTGGTTGGCATGCGTTGCCGGCTGCCAGGGCTGGTGCGTGCAGCCACAAAATGTCATG